AAAAGTTCAATTGTTCAAAGTGTATGTTTTACATATTTACAAATAATTTTACCCCTTGCAATATATTTCGATTAGAGGCATTGATATGTAATTAATAACACTTTAGCGAAATCAGATCTTTTACAAATATATCTTTTCTCTTATTCAGTACAGTAACATCGCCCGTCAATTTATTACGGGAAAGAGCAGGTGTCCGGCAGGAATGCTTTCTAAAATAGAAATAAAAGAGAAAGACATTTAAATGAAATTTTGCAACATTTTTCTAAAATGGGTGATTTAAATATTGACCTCATTGTTTATACATTTGAATTATGATAAATGATTGATGGTAATTAAAAATTATTTAATTATGATTAATAGTTATAGAAAGATGTAGAGGGATACGTTATACGCTAGGCCAATATCATCTTCGATATTATTTTCATAATTGAAAGGCAAACTGTTCCTGAGGTTAATTTAGATATATTTTAACATTAAAACTACAAGAATACGAAAATAATAATCGGAAAATATAAATAATAAATAAAAATTAACATTAGAATGATATATTCGATAATAAGTCAGTATGTTAAACAATTAGGTTTTTTCTGATTTAGACCTATGGAAATCAGGAATGCAAAGTCTTAAGATTGTAGATAATAAACAAGTCAAGGTACTCAGAATTCGTATGATTATTTGAAATAGGAATTGCTTTTAGCCTTCAGTTAGTATATTCGTCAGAAAGTATTTGTACAAAAAATACTTTGATATCGTTATACTTGAACAATAATATATCTTCAAAAACATAAGAATATTTATTATTGTCAAACTTATTAAGAATGTAATAATATTTTTGATAAGATGGAATAAAAAAGCCAGAGAAAGTACATTTGTACTTACTTCACACTTACTTCACACTATGTACGATCTTTTATATATATTAATTGAATAATACTTTTATCTTTCACTTCGCAAATTTACAAGGTTGATTATTCTCCGTACTTTTTATTCTAGCGGGTAGGTCTTATTTCAAAATAAGAGAAACTGAACATGATTTGATTGATTTTTAGTTTGTTCGTGTCGCATGTCTACCGTAACGTTTATAAAAATATTTAAAATTTCTGTTCTTAATGACATTTAACTGGATTAATTCAACTGGATTGATATGTTTAAGCTGGCAACTTGATGTGACGTTTACACTTCTTGAAATGTTGGAAATAGCAATAGTTTAGGCTTGTTTTATAGTACTAATTGGTTTGTCCAAAACAAGATCTATCAATATAAGGATTTATTCACTTTGTTTCAAATCAAAATACATTCAGTATTTATATTATACTGACCAAGTTTTTACAATACTTTGGGGCTTTTTCGTCCAAAAGTTGTCCAGTACAATTTGAATGAATATATGTAAATAAATTGCATTTGATTTATTTATATCAAATCATTTTCATCTCTCTTTTCAGAGGTTTGTGATAGCAAACAAGATACTTTTAGATCTATTTTCATGCTGCAGACAAAAGACAAACCAGTTCAATATTTTAGTTTTTGATACAAATAATTATTCTTTACTAAATATACTTTACTAAAAATGTTCGTCCAATTTGCATTTTCATTTCTTATTCAATCTTAAAATCATTAATGATAATAATACACGATGACCTCTTTAAATGCATAACGCAATGTCAATGGACCTTTGATCATATGAAGTTTTTTTTTTTCATAAAGGTAAAAATGTAATGTGACAGGTATAACATGGACTATTATTGAATTACAAACATAAATGTAATGTTAACATTCATATTCTGAAAAAAAAAACGTTCAGATTGATTAACTTAAGAAATTAATGATATTTCCGATAAGCTGTCGCGACGTTAACCAGTTTAGTTTCCTTCTTATATCAGACACATGGTATTCCAATAAATCCTTGGATAGAGAATGAAGATAAAGCCAAGGTATTTATTTCACGTTGTATTACGATAACTGAAGAACACTCTCTCTCTCTCTCTCTCTCTCTCTCTCTCTCTGCGATTCAATGTATATTGTATATTAAGGGGAGTGGTTTCTTTTGGAGATTAGAGCACTTAATCCATATTTCTCTGACATATCAATACGTCTTGCCAAAACAAAAACAACAAATTTTATTATCATCATTATTAATAATAAGATGTTATTATAATTATTATTAATTTTTTTTATTATCATAAATAATAAATAATAATAATAATAATATAGTATAGCAGTAGCAGCAGTAGCAGTAGAAGTCTTTGAGAAATTTAAATAATAGATGTTGAAGATGACGACATTATATGTATAACAATATGTGAAATTTACTTTCAAATTGATAAATTTATCATTTCAATCTTTCGTCAGAGTCTTTAGTAATACAATATCTACTGGATGACGATAACGACAAACGACTTCAATTATTTGTTATTAAATCATTGATTCAAAACGACTTATTAATAAATTTCTTAGAAATTGCATGAAATTAAATTGTGTTGTTATTCAAGTAGTCCATATGATATATACAAAGAAGATTTTTCCCCAATAAAATAATATCCCTGCACAACCACAATGCGGCAACAACCCGTACCCGGCGGCCCTGGAAAGTTTTATTTTTTTTCCTTCCTTACATCACATCCGGTTCAAGTGCACGCTTTTCGTATACTTGTATGGGGGGAGACTATTCAAAATCTCAAGCTGCAACATCTGGCAGAGGCAAAACGGTTACTTTGATAGACTGTGCCAATGTGTTGGCCAAGTAATACCCCGCTACTTTGTTTTCTCTGGCGCCAGGATGCTTGATTCCTTCCTGGATGGAGCAACTGCTGGGACAGATGGTGATGTTTCTGAGTTTGGATGGTCTCAATCCCAGATATTTTGCAATTACATTCAGGAGCATCTTATCAAGTTTTTGCCTCCAAGGGACGATGATGATATTCTTTTACTCTATGATGGACATAAGAGTCACATAGAGAGTCATAAGAGTCATAAACATACCGATTATTGAGTGGGCCAAATCTCATCGTATTTATTTGTTTGTGTTACGACCACATTGTAGCCATTTTCTTCAACCACTAGATAGTAGCTGCTTTGGCCGATTTGAGATTGCATGGAATTCAGCATGTGTATTTATGAGAAATAGGTCTAAAATGTAGGTTAAAAAGTGGGGAAAATCAATTTGATACTCAAGTCGATATCAAGAAAATATCATTTAAACTCGTATGTAAGCATGAAAACATGTCTTTAACAGCACTCATGAGTATACTGTTTTTAAAGCTCATTGGATGAAATAAAATATCATCTTACACAAAAACAAAAAATATATCCACTAATATTTATATATCTTTATCTCATTAATGCAAAATGCATGTCATAATATCATCAGGGCACAACGCCTTTTTTCGAAACAGCTTTTTGAATAAAAATTTATCATCAATGAACTCAGGAAACATTTTGAAGAAAATGGTAATAGCTTATTCAACGGTATTGGATATCACAAAGAAAGTTTTGTTTCATTTATCAGTCATTCTCTACATTATGAATAATTTAAAATTGAATGGTTTAAAAATAAGAAAAGATAAGTAGTTATCAAATTTAAATTGTAAAACTAAGAGAGTAAGTATTTCCGAGATATTCTATTCACCAACATGTTAGCATTGGGTTGGTTTTGTTTGATAAATAACCACAATTCACGTAATCAATTCGGATTTAAATGAAAAAGAAATTGTATCAGAGGTCATGTTTTATTTATGTTTGATATTCTGGATACTATCGAAGTATGCTGAATTCTTGGCAACTTAAATATCTAATTATTCTTGTTTTTTCTGCTTTAAATCGAATTTCAAGTATTTTTAAGCTGGTTACATTATACATCAATTAACATGTAGTTAACCTAAATAATATTTCTATATAAACATTAAGAAATTAGTTAAGATAATTATTGACCGGACAAGATAAACGAATCACATTGAATGTCCCATGATACCCACAGTTTAAATACATTTCGAAAACATAAAGTTGTGGTTGAGCAGGGACGATAACTTGTTATTACCTCTACCTAGCAGATTTAGCCTGCACCATTTTCACATTTTTTATCAGAATTACTTGTATTGTGTTTTATATTATGCTCTTATATTATGATCTCTTCTTATTGAGCTAAGCGGGAACAGACCAAAGAAATTAATAGCGAATTATGCATGCTCAGATTAGATATTAGCTTAAAACTTAATGACAATATTTATTCTTCATGAAATTGCAACTAGCTGTAACTATCTTTTCACCTGTCTAATGACGACGTCGGAGATATTACATGTATGTTACAGAGGAAGGTAGTCTAGTACTTGTGTAACTCTCCAGCAAAGATGGTTAGGAAACTACCCGCCTATATGACTGAAATACTGTCGGGAAAAGGCCTAAAATGAAACAAACAAAACTTCCACATGTTTGCTTCATATCCAATTCAATTACAAAATACCACTTAACTTTTGGTATGTCAGTGAAGTCTGTATGCTAATGAAATACTAATACTAGTCGTTGAAGGTCGAGCCGAAAAGGCATTTCTTTTCATGTAGGATTCCAATGCCAGTTACAATTAGCATATATTAATATATTTGTTTGATCTTACATCTAGAAATGTACAGTTATGTAAATTCGAACATTTTAACTAATGACTTTGGTGTTGCAGGTGTTTATTTAATTACTTATGATATGAATGCTATAATAGATATAATTAATGTTTCGGTTTTGTCCTTAAACTCCGCTATATGAAACACTAGAAATCAGCATATAGTGAAATGGATAGTGAATACATTACATGATTTTAGAATTTTATTGAAATAATTGTACGTATATGAGAAATTCTAATATTTGCATAGCCTACTGACCAGGGTTAAGTTGATATTGACAATGTCAAGAACTTTCTATCAGACCAGACAAAGTAATTTGCCAGGCAAAGAATAAATTATCTAACCTTCTGCTTGAATAATTCAAAACTTTGTTATTATAAATAGACGTCCATTGGTAGTTGTGAACTGTGTTGTGAATAAAGTCTTTGCTGGTAGAGATTTTTATAAAACTCGTACAGGATGCGCGTAAATTTTGTCTTGTGTTTCTTTATAATTGGAATGTGTCTTTTATGGAGCAGTGATGCAGGTAAGCTGTTTTGTGTATTGTTTTATTTTCTTTTAATATTTAAGAATCAAGGTCTATGCTTATTTTCATAAAAATCTTGAACAGTATCTAAAAGTATAGTGTTATGAAGTTCACAAATGAAAAAGTATATACATTGCAAACAGCACTTATATCCCACAAGAGGTCAACTATAGTTTTGGTTAGTTATACAGTAATTTATTGGTGATAAATCAGTCATTAACTGCCAAAAACACATGTTCTTTTAACGAAAATCTTGACGTGTATATTTTTTTAACATTTATTTTTGAGACTAGTATGGCTCACGAGGAGGCATGCAGATTTAAAGGTAATTTAAAATCGTTCTCATTGTTATAGGATTTAAGATTTATAAGATTACCTATTACCATAGGTTTATTATTAGATTTATAAGATTTTTATAACTATAACAATAGGATTTTTAGTATATTCACACTAAATTTAGTAAGCTAAACGTTAAATCTATAAACAAGTTAGATTTCAAGTACAAACTAAAAATGTGTCGTCATGCCAGGGATGCCCCGGCATGCAGCCAAAATTTCAAATGTTATAATATTTAGTTCCAAATTTGTTTGCACAAACTATTTTTTTCATTTTACGCTAAAAGCCCTTAATACTATTCAATGTTTACACAAACCATTTTTTATACAAAGTTCAAGGCACTGAAACTATTCAGTGAATACATTTTGTAAATTGCATATCGCATATTTGCAGCCAAAATAATGACTACATACATTTCTACAAAAGTAAGAGTGCTGAAACTGAAAATTCAAAATTTGTCAAAAATTCAAGAGAGACAACTTTGTCCAAAATCATTGAACCATGACCAAATTCAAAATTGAACTGCTTATTACAAAGATGTAACTATATGTCAAATTTGCGTTGAATGTGTATAACGATTGGGTAGATAATGAACAGAAACTAAAAGTTGCTGATTTTTTTTTCAAAGTTCAAGAGAAATAACTATGTCAGCTATCATCAAACCATGATAACATTCAAACTTGACCAATATATTCGTTTGAAATATCTATATGTTAAATTTAAGTTGAACATGTACAACTGTTGGGGAGATAATGAACGGAAACTGAAAATTTCATAATTTTTTCGGAGTGAAAAGGGGATTACTCTGCCAAAAATCATCTAACAATAGCCAAAGTCGAACTTGATTTGTGTATTTTTCGCCTTATCCATATGTCAAATTTGAGTTGAATGTGTAATATCAGGGGGAAAAATGAACGGAAACTGAAAAGTTCATATTATTTTCAAAGTGAAAGGGGGGGGGGGCATAGCTTTGCCAAAAATCATCAAACCATGACCAAATTCGAACTAGAGCTGCGCGTTCCTTTGAAAATCCATATATTAAATTTGAGTTGAATATGTTATACTGTTAGAAGGATAATGAATGAAAACTGAAAATTTCATCCAGGGGAAAAACTCTGTCAAAAATCATTGGAACTCAACCAAATTCGTACTTTACCTGTATTTTCTTATGATATATCTATATGTCAAGTTTGAGTTGAATGTGTTGTACAGTCACTAAGATTATGGACGGAAACTGATGATGACGGAATGACGGAAGGACGCATAGAAGGCGGGGCATAAAAATAAACTGTGCTATATGTTTTTTCTGTTTTTCTTTCTTTTTTTTCATTAGTTTGAAAAGTGCTGTACACTGCTGTGCTGTATGGATTCTCTTGTAGTTGAGTGGTTTTGGTCTCGGTTTTAACACACGAGGTTAGCTTAAATCGCCGTTCCTGTTTCGGCCTCATATGACTTTAATTAAGTTGGTTTGCCGTAAACTATAAATAACCTAATTGGACTGTTCATAAGAAATTCATTGAGAACATACAAGAAGGCAATCTATTTTTACCAAAATAAAACTCTTAATACAGGGTAAGGATGAAGGTAGTCCAAATATTATGACGTAACCTCGGCTTTGAAGCTATTTTACATGGGTCAAATCTGCTTTAACGCCTAAAATATCTATTTTAAAGTCCATAGCAAAATTAATGTCTTTTATGTGTCTTCTTCAATATACGGATAAATAAACTTCTTATCGTGAGTAATTTTTGCATATTCATACAGTTTTTGAGAAAATATGCTTCTGATTTTTATGCAGTCAGTTGCTTTTGTGATACATTACATTTAAGTTGTGATTTACCGGTAAATTCAAGTCGACTCGAGAATGTGTCGATTTGTGCTATGGGAAATTATCCAGTTATGGAAAGACCTTGTATTTTCCGATAAACGTCAAACTGTAAAAAAAGAAAATGCGATGTCTTTTAATGAAGGACTAGAATGAAAGACCGTGTGAAAGTATAGGTTTCAAAAACAAAATTAAATTTTAGTGTGAAAGTAATTTCGATGATTTAATACAGGATGATAGGAAATGGGACATAAGTGTACAAGCAAATAACATATAATCATATAAACTTATAAATATTTTTAAAGAAACAAATTGTGAAATCGAAATAAATGTTTAAGTTCAGTTGTTGAATATGCTCGTTCTGCATACATTAAGGTGATTTCTGCATTGTCGACCATGTTTCATATTCACCAAGTAGGTCAAAACAGAATGTAGGACAATGTAAGCTCACAATGTAAAATGATAAACAATGCTATTGTACCTAATACCTTTAAGGGTTTAATTGAAGAAATAAATAAAAGTAAATGTAAAAATGAAAAGAATAAGAACATTTACGTTGAGTTTGCGTACTTTTTGAAGACCAAATAAAATATATCGCAAGGTTTTATGCAATATTATGAATGCCAAAATCCAGGTAAAATGTCGTTGTAGTGCAGAGCTATCTATTGCATTAAACACAAAGAACTTGTTAGTGTAACTGCAAATTGTTTATTATTTATATAATCAGCTCTCTCATGGTATGACAAGTTGTCTTCTTTCACTTTGAACCTATTCAGTGAAAATGACTAACAATGTGAAATTACCTTAAAAAAAGTGAACTTCTTATTCTTAAATTTACAACTTTAAAGCAAATTGAAAACGGTAAATGTGGAATGTTACATGTACCAGCATAACTTAAACTATATTTTATATACAAAAACCAAGAAACAATGTAAACATTCTTCATTAATTAAACATCGGAACGATACATTTGATTAATAGATATCAGCACTTAAATTCTTTTCGATAATTGTTTAGGATGTAAACCATTTTTTTTTCTTTTTATATCAGACGCATGGGAACCAAGAAAACAATGGCTAAAGAAAAAAGATGAAACACAAGCAAAGGTACATAATTTACTTACGATAATTAAAAATTATTGGCTCTATTCATGAAATATAATATTATCTTTCATATGGAAATTAACAGGGTTTTTTCATTCTCTTAGTGTTTATTCTGTGTGGTATATTTTTGATCATAATGTAAGAAAATAAACTCAATTTGACTGATATTGAACTTTTGTGCCACACATTCACAGAAAAAATCATAATCTATGTTTTCTACTACCTTTACTTATGATTTAAAAGATGATTGATACTTTTTAGGGTGGCAAACCTAAATGATATTTGTATATTGCAGAAAATATTGAAAATTACATGAATTCAAATTTGATATTTCGTTCATATTTTTATAAACTACTGATTGGATATTCCACAAATAAAGAATAAAAATTCCGTACAAGGCTTTATGCACCTTTCTTGAAATCAAAATTATTCCAGTATTTTGAATAATATTAACGAAATAGCTACCATATTTTGTTTTTTTCGCCGAGCATTTTCCCAAAAAAGTTACATGAGTTAGCTACCTGTTAATGACTATGCACTTTGGGGCTTAACGTTAAATGATTTTATTCTTATTATTTAATTTGACTTAGTTATCGAATATTTTATTTCTCATTGCAGAGAGTTTGGAAGAAAGGTTTGTGATGGCATACATGATACTGTTGGATTAATTTTCGTGCTGATGATAACAATACAAGACTTTAATCATTTTTTTAAGTTTATGATTAAAAAACATACTTAATCTCATTTATATATTTTTATTCAATTCACATTGACGTAAATTATGTTGTTCTTCAAATTATCCATATCATTAAGACAGTACACTTTGTGACGTAGCTGTTATATTTATCATCATGGTAAGATTATTGTTTATGTTCATCTATTTCCGAGTTTTTATTAATACGTCTGTCTGACAACTTTCTAAAGAACACCAAGTTTTTTATGCACTCCAAAGGGAGAGCATATAGTCGCCACCTTGTCCGTCTGTCAGTCCGTCCGTCTGTCCGTTTGTAATTCTGTCCGGGCGAACGATAGGACACTTGTTAGGTACTTCTGACACACGAGAGAACACTTTTTGGGTAATTCTATTCATTCCGACAGTATTGTTGGGTACTTTTGTTCTCTTATTGGGTATTTTAAAACAAAAGAAGAACCCAATAAATGACCATTCGTAGGAACGTCCGTCTCTCTGTCCGTTGTCTCGTCCAACACCCTTGGAGATAATTTGTTTTAACTTTATTCAGTGGTAGAAGGCATTGAGTTGGAGTGCAGTGTCAAAGAACCATAACTCTATTTTGCTCGGTTTTTGAATACTCTTCACTTGTCCGGGACATAACTCTAAAACATGAAATGTTGTAGGTAAATAGATATTAATGGGTAGATGTGCAGTGTACAAGAAGCTTAACCCTTTTTTTTGCCTAATTTTAGAGTTATTGCCCTTTTTTAATTTTAACAGTTTGAACTTTGTCCGGAATATAACTCTAAAACTATAACAAATATCAACATGAAACACTGTAGGTAGATAGATCTAACTGACTTAAATTGCAGTGCAAAAAACAACAACACTATTTAGCTTCATTCTTGAATTAACTCCACTTTTAGAAAAATCTTGTCCAAGACTATAAAAGATATCTGGGACATTTCTCTAAAATAATCAAAGATATCAACATGAAACTTTGTTTGTAGATAGATCCCATTGAGTAAAAGTGCAGTTCTAAAATACCATAGCTCTGTTCAGCCCAATTTTTGAAATATCTTTCATTTTTAAAAAATTTTGTCCGGGGAATAACTCTAAAACTACAAAAGATATTTAAGTATATAAACATGATACTTTGTAGGTAGATATATCTCAATGGGTAGATGTGCAGTGCACAAGATCTTGAACTATATCTAGACCTTTGTCCGGGACATAACTCAGAAAAACAGAGATAAAAAGAATCCCTAAAGAAAGTCCAACACAACAAAATTGAAAATGTTGCAGGCTCGGTTTGATTGAGCCTGTTCATGGACGGTACTGAAACCATATAAGGTATCAACTAGAAACTTTATTTGTTGATAGATCGCATTGATAAGCAGTGCAATGCATAGAACAGTAACTCTGCCTTGCCTTATTTTGGAATTATTGCACTTTGAATTTTTTCCAGGGATATAAGAGGTGTATTTGCCTGTGTTTTCCTATGTCCAAAACCTATTCGGGGAGCATCACCCAACTCAAACCGGGCTCTTGTTTGTTTCTTTTTAATATCATTTTTTTTTCGTTTTGGACACAATGTATGAAATTTTATATTCAATATTCAATTTCAATTCTCAAGCAAGTTAAAAACTTTCAATCCTGATAATGAGCATATAACAAAAAAGATATTATTCTTTTACACATAGATTATATTTACGTTCGGTCAATGGTACTTTTGATACCATGATATTTTTTTCAAAATGATGTGGAGTTGGAATGTTTGTTGTATTACTAGAACTACATTCTGTCTACAAAAGCACACTAATTATGTGAATATTCATCATTTAACTAATTATCGGAATAATATTTACAAATACACATTAACACATATTAATATTTGCGATAATCTGTTTAGATGTCAACCAATTTAAACCTAATTCTTTTTATTTCAGACCAATTGGATTCATGGGAATCAAAAAAGCAATGGCGGCTACAGAAAGAAGATGAAACACAAGCGAAGGTACTAATTCAACATCAGTGTATTGGCTCTATTCATGAAATATAATTTTATCTTTCACATTGAAATTAACGATGTTTCTTGTTTCCACTTAGTTTTTATTCTGTCTGGTATATTTTGATCATTATGTAAAAAGTGACCTTGATATAAATTCATATTGACTTTTGTGTGCCACAAGTTTACCGTACTGTCCATTAACTATGTTTTCTACTACTTTGACTGATATCATTAAACATGACTGATATATCCAGGGTGGCAAATCGGTGTGACCCTTGAATAATGCACACTGTGAAAAATATTGAAAATACCATCAGTTAAATCTTGCTTTTACGTACATATCTTTTACAGTACTGATTTCATATTTAACAAATAAAGTATAGAAACCCGTACCAGGCTTTTTCACTTTATTTGAACTCATTATTTGCAATCACTATTGTGAATTATATTGGGTAATATCTACCATATTTGCATATTTTGGACTATATGTGGTCAGGTAATTTGCCCAAAAATTCCTAAATGTTCACTCTTGTTACAAACAATGCACTATTGTGGCTAAATATTAAATGTTTTTCTATTGATACATTTGACTCATTTATCTCCACTTTTTTGTCGTTGCAGAGAGGTTTGTGAAAACATACATGATACTGTTGGATCTATTTTCAAGCTGAAAGGATAACGGAAAACGACTTCAGTTTTTTTTCTAAGTTTACTTTCAGTGACAGTACTTGTTTATCTTCGTGTTAAGCATTTATGTCTCGTATCGGCGCTTTCATACTTTGTTTTGTCGTGATGTCGCTTTTGAAGGGCGCCAATACGCAGTAACGACAAACGATAAAACAGTGCGACAAAACGAGAATTCATTTTTGTTGTCGTTAGTTCGTTCTTTCGTGTTAACGCTCCTTAAACCGTGACAGAACGAGGTAACGACATGGCAGAAATCAGCCACCATACCGATACCATTTCAATAAACGTTTTATTATCTATGTATTATAAGGATATGGAATTCCTTAACTTCTACCATTTTTGAAGCTTTGAACTTTTAAACTGAATCAAAAGTTTACATATTCCTCTCTTAGTTTTGTTTTTAACAATATATTCTTCCTTAAAATCTTTGAATTGTTAATTAACGATGTAGAAGATGGCAGCATAATATGTTTTACGCTAGGTAAGCGATATGTTTTATCATATGAGTTTGTTTTCCAAAATGGTAAAGGTTGACTGTAACAAGTATCACTTGAACTATATCATATATGCTAAAACATAGCAAATGTAATATTCATCAATAATCTTTGGAACAATATTTATGATTGATAAACATAAATACATATTGATATTCGATAATCTATCAAGATGAAAACCAATTTAGTTCTTTCTTATTTTAGGCCAATGGACTGATAAAAAAGAGCCATGGATAGAAAAAACAAAAATAACGAGTAAACGAAGGTGATGTTTACGATAACTGGAAACAATGTAACGTACTATAAAATCAGGTACGTAGGTCTTTGATCAAAATATGAGAAACTGGATCGGATATGTACATATATTAATATTCTTGTATCGTAGGTATACCAAAAGTTTTATCTAAAGATTATTTTATGTTACTGTTACTAATGACACTAATATTGATTGGTTTATCAGGTTGGCTAGCCCATGTGACTTTTCGACAAAGTGCATTGCGACCGTGGCTTTTTTAGTCGTGTGCCTTGAGTATTTACCTATGTTGAATAACTTAACGTTAAGAAAATTAGACATATATTCATGTGAAATTTAGTTTGATTAATTTATCTTTTCAATTTTTTGTCACCTTGCAGATACTTTGCTAATACCATATCAGATACTACTTGGTCTAATTTCAAGCCGACGATAACGACAAACGACTTATTTGTTATCAAATCATTAATTCAAAACCACTTGTTCTCATTTACTCAATAAATTTCTTCTAATTATAACTATATTGTATTAAATTAAATTGTGTTGTTATGAACAAAAAAAAATTCTAGATGCTTTCATATTTGATATATTAACCATTGCAAAATCCTAGCTTAACACCGTTTTCCGGTACGTTACGGAGTTGACTCTGGGGAATTACACCAAATGAGGTTCATAACACATGATTTTTTTGATCTTTCTATCATTATTTTACCGTTTAAAGTGAACAAAAAGATGTGTTTGAAAATTAACAATATTACTTTAGTATCTATTGAAAATTTAAAAAAATGTTAATAATATAAATTAAAACACTCGAAGTGGCATCTTCCATAATAAAAAGAGATACTTTCTGCGTAATCTCTGTATTTACTTTATTTTTTGTATGGAATTATTCATTCAATGATATTTAACCATTTTCTTACAAAGAAATAACTGTTTTATTTCACTTTAATTAAAAAAAGGCAAAAAACAAAGAGTTCGTTATGACACTCCATTAGGTGAATTCCCCAGAGCTATGTAAAGAAAGTACCGGAAAACGGCATTAAGTTAGGTTTTCGAATTCGTGAATATATGATGTACATTTGTAATTAAAAGATTATAACATTTAGTGCTACAATTTACGGAATACATCAAAATAGCATGATCTCGGATCCCATAGATCCCGATTTGTATTGTAATCCAGCATCATCTGGAACAAGAAGTTACCCGTATGAAAAAAAATCCGTAGTATAAAAGAAGTTCCCCTATTGCAAAAAAACTGTTTTCGAAGCATTTATTTAAGAATCTGTCTAGATAAAAAGACAAATCGATATTTTCATTTTCTCCAACTCTTTTATACACTTGAAGAGATTTTAAATGACTCGTTGACTTTTATATACAGCAAATTACCACATTCCAGTATTGGGCCGAATACTCTGCATCGTTGAAAACGGTGAATTACAGCTGTAACAACATCAGGCAAAATTAACTTTAGAAATAAACACCTTTTAATTCAACATGAAAAATTAAGTTTGATATTTGCAAAAAAGATGAAGGTGGCTACACTATTCTTACACCATAGTGAGAACAAATTAACATGGTCGTGGATTTCATTAGTAAGCGTGTAATATTTGAAGAATCTTTTTTAGCTTTTAAATTAAAAAGATATGAAAGAACTTAGAACATCCTTAAACTATATTCTTAAAGTTTACAAACACATAACATTTCTAACAATGGAAGTAATATGGATTTTAAACATTACAGTTTAGTGAGCATAACTTGTAAAATATTTGTTCGGATAAAACATGTTTCGAATAACCATATCTTACAATATGTATAGGAGCATTCAAAGAATAACAGACTTTTCAGATGATAATGTCATATCTTACCCATTTTCTTTTCTAAAGATTCATAGTATGTAAGGAAAGCTTAATTCACAGTACATATAAACTTGAAAATACCAAAAATCTTATCAGCCTTTTCCAACAATATTCAGTCATTTAATTATTTCATAAATCTCATCCGGTTATCACCGTTACGTAAATGTGCTATTTGGACCAAGTCATCGATGCAATGTCTTGATTTAAATAAATCAATTCTATGAACAGTCATTCCATGATCTTCTCCAATACGTTCATAACATTAGTCGCATTATGCCCAGCCAAGTGAAAAAGTTTAACTTACATTTTGCGATAAATACGAAATATAATGTTGTAGCAGCTTTCTGAGGCTTTGTATTTTGCGAGAACGAAAGTCGATCGAGATATTAAATTTGGAAATTTCGGAATGATATGTTTTAGTAAACAACGTTCTTTTATGATTCGATTGCGTTATGTTACTTCAAAAAAATTGTTGTATTATTTAATAGGTCAGACTAAAGTGTTTATAATTTCAGATGTATTAAACATGTAAATGGTTTCTTAACCCATTACTTCATGAGCATTTTGTGAAAAATGGCTGTTTTCATTGAAAAGTCTCCCGTTACAGGTTCAAATTGCCATAATACTATAAAAACTGCTTCAACACTAATCAAACTTGGCACAAATGTCGACTGGACCATTGCTTACACGTTACCTTATGATCAATCTGGGGTCATTTATAGCCTCTCACAAGTCAAAAATTTTCTTGGCGATGAGGGGGACTTCGCCCCCCTCAAATCCCCCTGATGTATCTTTTGTTTGGGGGCCGCGCCGAAAAAGAGAGCACTTTTTATAACAACATTTCTCAAACAAAAAACAAGTGTTGGGGGCCTAAATAAGGCATTTTTTCACCATTTGAGACAACGAAAAGGGGGGGGGGGGGAAAAAGGCGTTAAAAGGCGTGTATATAACGTAATGGGTTAATAAGAATTGAACTTACCATTTCTTGAAGAAAAAATTGTAATAAATTATTACTTGGCCATCTGCCATTGTAAAGTATCTATTTTGTTTTGATCTAACTAATAATCAAAATAACTTTGTATGGATATTTTTTCTTGGAACGGAAATAACAGTCTCCTTTTAAAAATTATCGTTCATTTAACACATGTTTTATAGCATTTGTTTTATATATGTTTAATTTTAACTTTGTTATGACCGTACCCCCACCTTTTTGCTCACGTACCCGATTCAAAAACAAAATACCTTTTCTGATGTCAGTGAAACCTATCACTTAATACATGTATGCTAATAACATTAATGAAGGTCTTTATCTTTATTTCATAAAGCCAGTAGATGGGGCAACATATTTACAATATATACAATTATATAGGTCACATGACATCAATTGCTAACTATTTCATACATAATAAACATACTCATACACAAATAAGCCTTGAAACAGACTATACATTTTATTTGCATAATAACCATTGAAAAGGACTATACATTTTTAAAACTATACTGTTTACAAAAGAGGATAAGCACACAGGGACTTGAAAACTACTGCAAAATGTATGTCTGTATATATATCGTTATGTATTTGGTGAAGACATACGATTAATTTTGATAGAAAGGTTCATTTCTGATTTTGAATGCATTATAAATATATAGTCCTAAATTAAATATATAACATGTTCATTTTGACATTTCAACAATTCTATGAATTTGAACATACTTGGTTTAATTACATAATATTGTGGTATTAACCTTTTTCTCAGAACATATCAGAGCAACATATTACAAAATGATATTCATCTTCAAGCACATTACAGTGTCTACACAATCTATCACTTATATCAACTCTATGTCTAGATCATCTCAAGTCTATGAGAAGACAAACGTAATCTAGTAAGTGTTTGTCGCACATGTTTTAGCTTTTTATAAAGTTAAGATAAGGATGGAAACTAAATTCTGAGATATTTTTTAAGATAATGCTTATGATGACTTTTCTAATCTTGAATTCCATTCTTAAAACATAAGCATCAGACAGGCGTTGTTTAAACAATTCTAAAAACACATTGACATTTGCTACTCCTTGACCTAACCATACATGATAAAAACATACGACTTAATAAACGTTTCACCTGGTTTGCCCAATTAAGAGTATTTGGGTGTCTTTCTATTGTATTTAACATATCTTTATAAACTATTTTAACATATTTCCTTTCGTTTAAACGTAGAATTTTAAATCAATATTTAACAATTGAAAGTAAACATCTTGTTCTGCATGGTAGTCTACCTATTTCACCATAAACAAAATCATTTTGACAGTTCTTTTTAACACCAAGGACCTTCATACAAAATTGTGTGTGTTCACGTTCAATACAGTTTGCAGATGCAAAACCCCAAACTTCACTGCTATATGATAAAATTGGATAAACTAATTTGTCAAATAGATCTAAAACATGCTTCGGTGATATATCAACAAATTTATACAAATACTTTTCTAGCCTATACGTTGCTTTAAGGGCCTGATCAGCTAATAATGTTTTTTTTTTAATGTTTGCGTTTCTGTAAATGCACCACCAGTTGTAAAAACAACAACTAAGTATGTGAAACGATTAACTATTTCCAATATATTACCATTATACATGTAGTTAAATTCTAAATAACCAGGCAAACGACCACCTTTTCTAAAAACCATAACTTTTGTCTTTTCTGCGTTAACAGCAAGTTATCACCTTTGACAATATGTGTATAAAACATCAAACCCTTACATATTTGTTTCACCTTGCATCAAGAAATGTAAAGTTATGTTAATTCGAACCTTCGGATTTATGGCTTTGATGTCGGCAGGTGTTTATTTTTAATATCTAAGACAGCAGTCCATTAAGATAATGTTGAAATGATAATGTTTACAGTAAAATATATATTGAATACTTTACATGTCTTAGAATTTTATACAAAAACAAACAAACTTATGTGTTTAACTTGTTATGATTAACAGATATATATGTGAAAATTACACACATGATAATGCCTATACTCTGACGGTTTGAGCTTAAAAGTGGTTCATAAGGGCTAACATTATTTATTTATGCACAACACCGTCTATATTAGTATTTTCAAGTCAATTTAACTTCTGCCAGAACATGCAACATCTGCATATACTGCTGACCTGGGTTAAATTGTTATTGAAAATTTCAACAATTTTCTATCAGATCAGACAAAGTGGTATGCTAGGCAAAGAATATACATTTGTGTACTAGTATTATCTAACATTTAGCTCGAGTCACTCAAAACTTGTGCAATTACAATGAACGACTCGTTATTAAATATAGACGTATTCCGGTATTTATTTTCTGCAGTGTATTAAACAAACTCAATAAAACGGTTGCAATAAAACTCTTTCGTACAAAATGGGTGTAAATTTTATGTTGTATTTTTGTCTTATCGAAATATGTATTTTAAGGAGCAGTTTTGCAGGTAAGTTGATTTGTGAATTTACTTTTCTTTCAAAATTAAGTTTAATTTTACAATCATAAACATTTATGTAAGTCTAAAGGTTGATTAATTCCTTTTCCTATAACTTAAGGCATTCAGTAACGTTATATCTGTAAGTTTGATTTCAAATGACAAAAGCCTGTACAATATGGTAGCAGATGGAAGGAATTTGGGGGCGTTGCAATTATTGTTAATGATAAACAACCCAATAAGAATAATCATAAGTAATTGATGAGAACATACAAGAAGGCAATTAATCTTTTTACAAATACTTCAAATGTGGTGATAAAGGTGAGGGGACGGGCTAGATGAGTGTGTAAAGAGTGAAAGTAAGTTAGACGTTTAGTTCCAAGATGGTTGAAAGAGGTACATGTGTGTTACTACAACATGTGACATGACATCTTTTTGAAGAAATAGAGCGTCAATTCGAATGAAAAGTTCAATTGATTAAAGTGTATGTTTTACATATTTACAAATAATTTTACTCCTTGTAATATATTTAGATTTGAGGCATTGGTCTGCAATTAATAACACTATAGCGAAATCAGATCTTTTACAAATATATCTTTTCTCTCGGCATTCAATACAGTTAAATCGCCCGTCAATTCATGAAGGGAGCGTGAAGGTGTCCGGCAGGAATGCTTTCTAAAAAGAAATAAAAAGGAGGGACATTAAAATGAAATTTTGTAACATATAACTAAAATGGGTACTTTAAATATTGACCTCATTGTTTATACATTTGAATTATAAATAATAGATGTAGAAAGATGTAGATGGATACGTTATACGCTAGGTCAATATCATCTTCGATCATAAAAGGATATTATTTTCATAATTGAAAGGCAAACTGTTCCCGAGGTTAATTGAAATATATTTTTTACATTAAAACAACAAGAATTCAAGAATAATAATCGGGATATATTAATAATAAATACTATTAACACTTGAATGATATATTCGATAATTAGTCAGTATATAAAACAAATTAGTCTCTTTCTGAATTTAGACCAATTGAAATCAGGATTGCAAAGTCAAAATAATGTAGAGTAAGTACAAGTCAAGGTACTTAGAATTCGTATGATTATTTGAAATAGGAATTGCTTTTATATTCAATAAATATAAGATAATTAAAATTCATTTTTCAACTAGTAGTGTTGTTATTTTCTTCAACCTTTTCCCTTATATAAGCGTGTTTCGACGGCCTTTTGCCCCCCCCCCCCCTTTTTGAGGCCTCAAACAGTGAAAAAAATGCCCTAATTAGGCCCCAAACACTGTTTTTTCTTTTGAGAAATGTTGTTAAAAAAGTGACCACTTTTTCGGCGCCGTCCCCCATCCAAATATATCATCAGAGGGTTCACTTCTGTTTGGGGGCTTTGAAGGGGGCGGAGTCTCCCTCATCGCCAAGAAAATTTTGGACATGTGACAGGCTAAAAATGGCCTCAGGTCGATCTTAGGGTAACTAGTAACCGACGATGAAAAGCCTTTTACTCTATCTCAATTCATTTAGAAGTTGTCGCACTTTGAAATCAGTTTTGATGGAAAAAAAAACATTGCAAAACAGTGAGTTTTGGCAATTTTGAGGCGTCAATGGCATTCTGTTAGTATGTTTCTGTTGCTGTTTTCATATCGTGTTTGTATAAGAAAACTTGTTCTTATTTATAAATTTTTATCCAATTTGTTTATCATGGATTGTGCTGTCATGAAAATGATCCATATTATTTATATAGTAAACTCAGTAACGTAGCTGTTTGAATTCGTGATTTAAAACTTTTGTCACCTATATTACTCTACTTTTTTCATACGTCTGTCTTGCAAATTTCAAAACGAACTCCCCTTTCTTTGGTGTTTTTATTTTCCGTTTTCGTACCATTTTATTACAAATGTGTTATAATGATATGAATTTCCTTTTGTTAAAATATTTCCGAAAATGTATATCAATCTTATAATGACATATGCTAAATTATATTTTAATCTAACTTTTTAAGAAAATGATTTTTCTTTCGAACCTTTAAGATATAGACGATGAGGTCATAAATGCTTTACGTTTTAGCAATTCTTTAGATGTTAACAATAATGAACAAATATTTGCGGCTGTCCAAAAATTTATCAAAACTACTGACCTTTTTGAAACGCATTGTATTTTTGTAAATCGGCCGATTGTACTAATCCTAATAACCTGGTACCACAAATACTAGTAATTGAAAATCACATTTATGATGGACGTTATTCCCAATGACGAATAATACTAAATGCTGGATCCTTAACCTTGTCGTTATTACATAAATACATTACTATACATTGTTTTCTGTCTTACTTATTTCTTACACTGTTTTATTTTTTTTATGTTAATCTGTCTTTATTTTTTTTCTTTGTTCGCTTTATATGTATACATGTCACACTTTCTCATATAAATGCCATCAATGTTGATTAATATATTTTTCAGGGGGAGGGCCGATCGCTAATGTTGTAAGAACTTGGGTCCAACCCTTTTGCTATTTGTTATTTCGAAATCAATTTGTTTCTCTCTATATTTACATGTATATATTAGCAATAAAATATGATTAAACATAAATGCTTTACGCTAGGTGAACGGTACTTCGATCAAAATATTTTGTTTTTTCAAAAACGGTAAAAGTGAAACGTTTCTAGTATTACTTAAACTATAAGAATCCTGTGAACATTAATTATTTAGATAATCATCGTAACAATCTTTTTTATTAACAAACTTAAGGACGCAATGATATTTTTGAAATGTAAACGAATTTAATTTGCTTTTTATATCAGCCTCATGAGAATAATGGAAAGCCTTCTATAACGAAAGAAGATATAACACAGGGCGAGGTACTTATTTTACGTACGATAACTGGAAAGTATTGCCTCTTATTCATACCACATAATATAATCTTTTACTTTGCAATTAACAATGTTTCCTTTATTGTCGCGGGTAGGTCGTTGGTCATTAAGAAAGTAAACTCGATTCCATTGATACTGATTTGTTCCTTGTTGCAAGACTATGTAAAGTTTATAAAACATGTTATCTATAACTTATACAAATTGTATTAAAATGATTGTTATGTTGAGGGTGTCAAACCGATGTGAATGCGTCCTTAAATAAAATGAATAATAATATTTTTTGAAAATATTGCGAAGAAGAAGTCGAGACATTCAATATTTTGAATAATGTTGAAATGTTTACCATAATTGGGAATATTTTCCGCCGTACACCTTGCCCAAAAAGGAACATGAGATAGCTGCATTGATTTATGACTATGCACTAAAGAAGGTAAATATTGAACGTATTCATATTTTACATTTATCAAATCAATCTTCTTCTTCTTTGTAAAGGGGTTTTGCTATATCTGATACTCCTGGATCAAATTTCAAGCGACAATGGCCTTCAGTTAGTATTTTCGTCATTTTTTAAAGTATATTTACAAAAAATACTTTGATATCGTTATACTTGAACTATAATTTATCTTCAAAAACATAGGAATATTTATTATTGTCAAACTAATTAAGAATGTTATAATATTTTTGATAAGATGTCAAGTTATAAAGGAATTTAAACACTTTCTTATAACAGGCTTACTGGAATAGATAAGGCAGCGAAGGTACTTATTTTACGCTACGTACGATCTTTTATGTATCAATTGAATCATACTTTTATCTTCACGTCGCAAATTTACAAGGTTGATTATTCTCCGTACTTTTTATTCTAGCGGGTAGGTCTTATATCAAAATAAGAGAAATGAACTTGATTTGATTGACTACAACTTTGTTCGTGTCGTATGTCTACCGTAATGTTTATATCAAATCATTTTCATCTCTTTTTTCAGAGGTTTGTGATAGCAAACATAATACTTTTTGATCTATTTTCAAGCTGAAGACAAACGACAAACCATTTATTAATGATATTTAAGTTTTTGATACAAAAAATATTTCTATACTTAATATAATTAACTTAAAAGTTTCGTCCAATTCGCATTTTCATTTCTTATTTAATCTTAAAAACATTAATGAAAATAATACACGATGACCTTTTTAAATACTTAACGCATTGTCACTAGACTTTTGATCATATGAAGTTTTGTTGTTTCAAAAAGTTAAATATGAAATGTGACATATATTATATGGACCATTATTAAATTACAAACATAAATATGACGTAAACGCATTTTTTTCAAGTTCAATATTTTTCCAGTACTGGTGTATGGTATATAGCTGATATGTAAAAAAATCTGATGATAATATTTAGGGGGGGGCACCTCTTTTTTAGACCCCCCGCCTTGTTTGGGCCGGGGTGTTTTAGGCTATTTGAACAATCTTTTTTGTGCATGCATGTTTGAAATTAACAATAAAAATGCAAAATGAGGACATGAATTTTATTTCATTCTCCTATATGTACACCTCATAGCAACATCTTATATTTTTTCACAATATTTGGAGATATTTTTTTGTGTGAATTTCTATTTCTTTATCACCAATACATAGTCCACAATGCTTACTGTCCTTTTCAACCTGAAAACAAAATAGAAATCATTGAAAATATAAAATGAAAAAAAATATATGTAAATCATTTAACTCATTCGCTCCGAGCGACCCCTTTTCTCGAATTTGTTGGAACAAGCATAAGTAAAATACAATTGAAAAAAAGTATTAGAATAAAAAAGTATATATAGTTAGCTGTCAGTATAATCCGCATTACAACATGAAGCGAAAACACGAATCATTGATATTGTGGAACGCTGCTTTTGTCAAAGGTTCCGGGACATTGGAAAATTGGATTGATAAAGTAAAAATGTTTGAAATTAAAGGCGATAGCTCACAAACAAGCAAAACGCATTACTCAGACTTGGAAGCTAAATCGAAGTTTTTAAAATCAAAAGATGAGGTAATGTGTACTTTTTCTGTTGGTATTAGACCAACACCGAAACAAAAACGAACGTTGAATCAAATGCTCAAAGTAAGTAATTATGCTTACAATTGGTGCAATTACTTAGTGAAAGAGAAAAATTTCAAACCAAAGCAGTTCGACTTGCAAAAAATTGTTACTAAAACAAATGCAAGTGACATACCAACAGAATACAGACGTCCCCAAGACGAATGGTTTTTCGACAACAAGATGACATGTATCAAGGGGACTGCTTGCAAAACATTTTGTGCTATGTACAAATCAGCACAGTCTAACCAAAAGAAATCTAAAGTTGTTTTAAAAAATAAGGATACTATTTTTTTACGAGAAGGATCATTCGAAGTTCAACAACAGTTTGTACGATTGTTGACAACTAAAGACAATGCCGATGACTTTTTTCGAAAATCGAGAATAGCTCTGATGCCAGCTAGCTTTTCACACTCAAGCAAGAACTATAAAGAACGGTATCTCAAAATTTCAAAAGATGTATCAAAATTGCCACCACTTAGTCGTGATATGAAGATTAGCAAACGAGCAAATGGCAAATTTGTTTTGCATATTCCATGTGATCCCATATGTACTAGACAAATACATGTTAACTCATCAGACTCAATATGCTCAATTGATCCTGGTGGTAGAACATTCGCAACATGTTACGACCCAAGTAATTTGAAATGCTTTCAAGTCGGACGCAAAGAAGATAAGGAGAGAATAATTTACAGACTTCATGACAAAATTGATAGAGTGCATGAACAATTGTCACTCGCTATACAGAGAAATCAAACACAAGCAAAGAATGACCGAATCGGTCAGTTAAAGAAACTACATCTAAAATTGAAAACTTACGTGAATGACATACATCTGAAACTATGTTCTTATCTTGTGAAACATTACAAGCTCACAGTTCTTGGTAAAATATCAGTCTCTTCAATTGTTAGAAAAGACAGATCGAAACATTTATCAAAGAGAAGCAACAGAGACCTGTTATGCTGGCAACACTACAAATTCAGAGAGAGATTGCTGCATAGAGCTCGAGATACAAATTGCGAAGTAATCGTTCAAGATGAAAGTTACACATCAATGACATGTGGGAATTGTGGAGTAAAGAACAAACAATTGGGTGGAAATGAAACATTTTATTGCGACAAGTGTAAATATGAAACACATCGAGACATGAATGGTGCCAGAAATATTATGCTAAAGTATTTGAATATTTTTCCATTTTCATCATAAAAATATAAATGACATTATAGGTTTGACTCGACCTGCCTCGAGTAAGAAGTTTTGCCTCGAATTTTACATATGCGAAAGTCGGGGCAAAAATTCTCTCGGAGTGAATGAGTTAGCAAATAAAAAAGACAAAATAAGATTGCGGAATAGCTTGTTTTAACACATTTGCTCCTGAAAATGACTTTTCTTACATAAGCAAGATTATTTGTCAATCAGGGAACACATTTTTCTTACCATTCAGTGATTTCATTGATTAACATCCAGTTTATTATTTCAGTTTGACACTATCTGACTGGTTGAATGAATGAAATAAATGTCTAACAATGATAACAATGATAAATATATTTTCAATATGCAGTATTGCATGTCATAGAAAGATTTTGTTCACCTATTTGTCAAAAATAGGCTTATAGATCTTCCTTTGAACAACAATGCAGCCTAGATTAATAATGATACATGGTGAAACATATTTAAGTTCTCCAGATTGATGAAAATGAAAATTTCACAGTCAATTTCCTGTTTTTGTTTACTTTGCCAAATAATGTGAAAGAAGCAAGAACAATCTACAAGTGTGTGTCAAATTGGATGATGTAATTCAAGTATGGTGTAAAAAATGCATTACTTACCATAACAGTCAAATACTGTTGGATAAAATAGCAGCACAAAGAGAATATTTGCTACTGACATCTTTTTATCAAATAAGCTGTACATTAATCATGAGGTCTGGTCCATTGTAAAAAAATCCACTCTCAATACTACAGAAGATTCCAATCTGAAAAAGAAAATATTGACATTAAATGTTAAGTGTGTCTTAGACTTTGTACTTTGTCTTATAATTTTGAAAATCACCTACAATTTTATCTTAGCATGTTCAAACACATACAAAATTTCATTTTCCAGAGTGAATATGTCAAGTTTAGCAAATAAATGACCAAAATACTTAACAATTTATTTGAAAAAAAGTATTTTACCTGATAATTTGTGTTGTATTCATTCTAGTCACTGCACATGACTTGATTTTTTTCCAGCCACTCATATTTTTCAATTGTGCATCTTAGTTACTGCCATTTTTTGGCCATGATTCTGAAAATAGTTAAAGCAATTTGATGTTAATTCAGTCATGATGTAAGAAATGAAGGAGACAAAATGCATATACACTGACATGGGGTATAAAAAGAAACAATTACATCAAAAACAAATGCCATATGGCATCAAAAACACAATTTGTGAGACATTTTTGGACATGAAACTGTATTAATTATTCAAACTAGTATTGAAATTTGCTTGCTGTTTCAGCAAATGAAAATAAATTGTCCAGCAACTTGATACTGTCATCTGAAAAAGAATAAACTGTCCTGTTCTTCAAGTCAGTATGCTAGTTACAGGGTGTGTTTTGCTTTGAATGCTTGCAAATTTCTGTATGAAATAAACAACATATATTTTCATTCATGACAGGCCTGTATTTCTGATAATTCAGTGTTTTACTCTATTTTTACACACAAATGATCAGAGATATGCTCATTTTGTATTCTTAAACTACTCTACAGTACTGTTTTAAAGCAGTAAGAATACTCAATGAGTAAAGTCAGTATTTTAATTTATCTATATTTTTTCTACAGATTTATTTCTGATCAAATTGAAATAGTCTTTCAAGCACCCTGGCAACTTTGCAGAAACAATTTTCATTGTATCTGACTAATATTGATGTAATATTTCAAATGTCAAAATGAAAATGTCAAACTGTTGTATCATTCAGCATGCATGATCAAAAGCTGTTGTTTACATTTTTTGTTGACACAGTTTTATGACCACAGTGCATGAAATCAATAAAACAAGCTAGATATTTCATATGAAGTTGTTTATCGTTTTAATAGTTAATGATCTAACCCGATCTAACACACTTGCTTACCTATATTTTCTTGAAACGCCCCGAAAATCCGTTGAAAATAAACGTTTCCATTCCTGAATTTCTCACAACAACAAAGTCAAACAAACGACGCTTGATAATCAAGGGGATACAATCCGATGCTATCAAAACCCGCACTGAATAAGTTTATGTACAGTAAATTTGCTTTTACTTGTGAAATGACCGTACAATGTTGGACAACATGTGATAGGTAATATTCAGAAAATGAATAAACCCTTCGTAAACGTAAAATGTATGTAAAAGAGGTCGTCTATTGTTTTTATTTAGATTTTCTTCAGTATTTAGGCTAAATACGGCACAGTCGGTATATTTCTCCTCTTTTTTATTTGATTTACTCTTTTTTATTGTCTAAGTCATTAGAGATTGTTTTCAATGATACACAATATATTTCTATCGACTAATATGGCGCTAATTAGCTCGCCTTTGATAGTTCTAAGAAAATAATTATAATGTGACGTCATCAATACTACGTCATCAATATAGCTTCGAATAGGAAAACGTTCAAACGGGTCATAACAAGTCTCGCTTTTAAAATGTTCGGCCGTGTTGGAAATTGCTGTGTTAAAAAATTTAATTTAAGGTGGATAATTACTGGATATTTACTAAATTTTTATGAGGTATGTGACATTTGTTTATACTTTTCACTCTGGCGAATTTTTCTTTTGACAATATCAATGTATTTTAAGTCAAAATGCGATTTTCTTCGAGAGATTGAAGTTTAGATGACTTCGTGAGATTGATGTTGTTGAATTTTGATTTTGTTTTTCTAGATCTATCATCATGAGTCTTAGGTCGGATTTCCAATCATCTCGAGTTGATATTTTTTTAAACATACTGTATAGATTTTATTTAAAAAATGTTCGATATTTTCTTGTTGATCGGAAGTATAGACAAATTTATTTGTGAAATTTACGGAGTAGATCTACTGTTGAATACGATTTTAAATATTTTAGCGATTAGATTTATTTTTTTTTCTGGTAAAATGTAGTCAATATGATGTTACTATTTAGCTTGTGATAAAATGAATTTAGATCAAATTTTTATTGGACATGTTTGAAAAAATATTGAAAAAAGCTTTCATGGTTTATTTCTCCAAACGATATCTACACAGTAGGAAAAATATCAATTGTTGACATTTTCTACGCTCGAAAACTTAGTGTGAAACAGCGGATCATGTTTTGAAATGCTACTTGGTGCAAATATTTCATGTTTACAAGAGGGAAAAAAAATCTGTTCGCTATTGTGTTTCGAGAATGATGGTATTTTTTTTTAAATCGTGTTTATTTGTCTGCCAATTGAAATGCAAACCCGATTTTATTTTACATTTGATGAAAATATAAATCACATAGATCTATAAAAACTTTATTTGAGAAATGAAGACAATTTTTAATTGAAATAGAATGGTACTTTATCACTGAATAGATTAAGTAGATCAAAATTGTTCTACGATTTATTTGTCAAAAATTTGTTTGCTGATAAAGTGTTGGTGTTTTATTTGTGAATGTAAATTTTTATTTTGACCGTGGCTTTTTGAAAATATTTTTGCTTGAAAAAAAAACCGCTTATTGCTTATTGCAAATTAACTTGACAGTGAAAAGGATCTACAATATTTTTTCTATATATTTTCTCTTCAATATTTAATCAATAGTGATAATGTGGTAGATATCATATCGTGTAAAATGCAAGAAATATGTAGTCTATTGTAAATAGAAAGATTCAATCTATTTTTATTTAATCTCGGCAAAAATGTTAGCGTACTTAAATTCTTTACTAAACCTATAACATTTGTTACTGCAAAAAAATATGTATCTTGATCGATCATTACTTGATTTTTAGACTATAAATTTGTGCTTGTATTTCAGCAATTCAACTGTTGACAGTGATCACTGATGAATATTTATGAAACAATAGGTAAACATTTTTTTTTCAATTTCGATCATATTTGTTACTCATGTTGATTTTGACAGTTTATGTTTTATTAAGTTAACAATCGTTGTTGATTTTTTATAAAAAGAAAAATCTTTACCAAGCTTCGGCATAAACAATATGAACGTTACCGACTGCAGAACATCACTGACTGACTTTAACAAAAATATGGAATATTACGAAAATAGACTGACGACGTTTGACACATATCCGAAACAAATGTTGCCAGACAAATACGAACTGGCGAGTGCTGGATTGTACTACAGCGGAAAATCAGACGTGTGCGAGTGTTTCAGATGTCACGTTAAATTGAGCGCCTGGTTAAGATCAGACAACGCTTTGAGAGAACACTATAAGTGGTCGCCTAATTGCGAATATATCAAAATAGTCGGTATTCCTCATCAGAAACCAACCCAAACTGCTGGATTCGGTGGTTTTGGTTTTGTCTCTACTAGTAAGTCAACACCTTGCGGGTTTGGAACGTCGAGTTCTTCTACGACTTAACCAAAAAAAGGGCAGTACGACCGACAAGACATTTCTTGACATTATTGTGTTGATGATATAATGGTTAAAAAATAAATGGACAAATACAATAAAGATTTTCTTTTTTTCAACTTGTTGATCAAGAAGGTCATTTCTTGCAGAACAAAAAGAGAATATCGATTACTGTAATTGACATAACACTTTGACATCTGTTCAACGTTTAACTTTTTAGTGTTAACAAATATGAAATTCAACCACGGTCTATGAATTTCTTATGATGTATAAAAGCAAATATGTGTTTCTAGTTTATTTTTTGTTTCATTTCTGAAATGTTGCTGTTTAACTTAATTGTTCAATGTTAATCTGCAATCATGATTGTTTAATCCCAAGCAGCTTCTTGACAAAAATATTTTCTTATCACTTTAATTTTGAATTGATCGAATCTACTATTTCTATTTTCTATCAACTTGTATTACTGTAAAATTTTTATAAATTGAGAAAAAAAGCACTTCAATCAACTTGTATTTGTATTTCGGTTGAAATGCTGTTTATCTTTTGCAGTAATCACTGAATATAAAACAAAACAAGTAAACATTTTCAATTTAGTTTAAGAATGTTCGTTTTGCATTGAAAAAAAATGTTGAATTTGATATATCAACAAATATATGATGGGAACACATAAAAAAATTGGTATGATGACCACAAGCAGAAAAACTAATTTCTGAAAATTTTCATTATTTTTGTTGTTATATAACCTCAGACGTTTAGATTTCAGTTCAGTCTACGTTTAGCATTCGATGTGTTAACATCGTCGCTGTAGACTCAACTATCTCAAAAATTTTGTCTCTTATGTGATGAGGTGAAATCACTTTTCTGCTAACAAGGCAAAGTTAGTAGATAAAAGTCTGTGCATTTTGCCTGAATGGTGGTGTTTATTGTAACATTAGCGCAAGCAGAGTGTCAATGTGGTCTCTGACCCGCCACTATTACTCGCTGGCTGTTTGGCGAATATAGTGCAATTAGTCTGCTTGTTACAGCTATAATACGTGTATAAACAGCTCGAACAACCAATGCTCCGTCTGTGATCAGCGCTCTATTCCCATCGCTGTATGGCGTGCGATATCAGTCCAGATTGGTCTCTCGAAGGATAGACGAGAGATTGAAGGGTGGGTTGAGTCGAGTTGGTTATACACGCTACATAATGTTACTTGGTTTTGGTCATAAACAATTTTTCATTCAGGCAGTAAAATGTTAAAGCTAGAACAAGATATGAAAGTTTAAATATTTTCTCTTTCGACAACTTTCATATCAAATCAAATTATCTAGTCCGAAATGACTATAAACTAAAAATCTGGTTCAGTATGCATTTTGACTTCGTTGAGTCAAGACGTGAAAATTGTGTCTCTGGAGTGATGAGGTGAAATCACTATACTGCTAACACGGCAAAGTTAGTACATGATATGAAGGGTTAAATATTTTCTCTTTCGACAACTTTCATATCAAATCAAAATTATTCAGTCCGAAATGACTATAAACTATAAATTTGGTTCAGTATGCATTTTGACTTCGTTGAGTCAAGACGTTAAAATTGTGTCTCTCGAGTGATGAGGTGAAATCACTTTTCTGCTAACAAGGCAAAGTTAGTAGATAAAAGTCTGAACATTTTGCCTGAATGGTGTTTATTGTAACATTAGCGCAAGCAGAGTGTCAATGTGGTCTCTGACCCGCCACTATTACTCGCTGGCTGTTTGGCGAATATAGTGCAATTAGTCTGCTTGTTACAGCTATAATACGTGTATAAACAGCTCGAACAACCAATGCTCCGTCTGTGATCAGCGCTCTATTCCCATCGCTGTATGGCGTGCGATATCAGTCCAGATTGGTCTCTCGAAGGATAGACGAGAGATTGAAGGGTGGGTTGAGTCGAGTTGGTTATACACGCTACATAATGTTACTTGGTTTTGATCATTCAGGCAGGTAAAAAAAGTTAAAGCTAATACATGATATGAAAGTATAAATATTTTCTCTTTCGGTAACTTTCATATCAAATCAAAATTATTCAGTCCGAAATGACTATAAACTATAAATTTGGTTCAGTATGCATTTTGACTTCGTTGAGTCAAGACGTGAAAATTGTGTCTCTGAAGTGATGAGGTGAAATCACTATACTGCTAACAAGGCAAAGTTAGTACATGATATGAATGAATGTATAAATATTTTCTCTTTCGGTAACTTTCATATCAAATCAAAATTATTCAGTCCGAAATGACTATAAACTATAAATTTGGTTCAGTATGCATTTTGACTTCGTTGAGTCAAGACGTGAAAATTTTGTCTCTGAAGTGATGAGGTGAAATCACTTTTCTGCTAACAAGGCAAAGTTAGTAGATAAAAGTCTGTGCATTTTGCCTGAATGGTGTTTATTGTAACATTAGCGCAAGCAGAGTGTCAATGTGGTCTCTGACCCGCCACTATTACTCGCTGGCTGTTTGGCGAATATAGTGCAATTAGTCTGCTTGTTACAGCTATAATACGTGTATAAACAGCTCGAACAACCAATGCTCCGTCTGTGATCAGCGCTCTATTCCCATCGCTGTATGGCGTGCGATATCAGTCCAGATTGGTCTCTCGAAGGATAGACGAGAGATTGAAGGGTGGGTTGAGTCGAGTTGGTTATACACGCTACATAATGTTACTTGGTTTTGATCATTCAG